GATACTTACAATTTATACCAAGAACAAGAAGTTGAACGAATATATATTGAACATCCAGAGTGGGATATATGCCCAGAACAAATATTAAGGGAAATTGATATTGATAACCCACCTTTTAGATATTTTTGAAACTATAACCCGATACCTAGGAATATTAATAGATCTGTAATAAACCCTTACAAAGAAATATTACACCAAAGAGGAATTGAGGAAATACAAGTAGATATTGAAATAACTTTAGCAAATCTAATTGCAAGAATAAACCCAACCAACAATTGGAGACTCAGAACAACCCTAAAAGTGATACAACACGCAACTGCTATTAATAATATAATAATATAATCTTTAACAATCTTTCAACCAATAATCAAGAACAATATAAGCCATTTGACACACCTGCAATAAATAATAACCTAGATTGAGAAAAGAAACGAATTGAAAGACTAACTGCAACAGCCTTACAACTAAAACTTACGAGAGAGAGATTTTGCAACACTTTAGAAATTTCTTAAAACTTAAAAAGATTATTATACTTTAACATCTTTATTGTAGAAGATATATTATTCAACGAAAGAGCTAAAGTAATCATTGACGAAGAAGAAGAATTAAAAGTTCTGAACCAGATAACTGAATATTCTATTTTTCCAAGCAAAAGTAGAAAATGAAGTAAATCTATTAGTTAAATAGAAAATACCTACAAGAAAAAAGTCTACGAATTTTGTGAAAACTTAACAAAGGATTACATTACTCACCTAGAATATTTACCACCAAAAGAAAGATCAGAATCACTTTATAAGAAAACTTTAACTTTTTACAAAATAGAAGCAAGGACTCGACACCTATTGCATTTTTTAAAAGAAATAATACTAAAGAAAATAACTGACGATTTCTGGAAGAAGGAAGGAAAACCCTTAGAAATAAGCAACGCATACGAATCAAAAGAATATTCTATTTGGCTTAAAAATGCCCAAACCTTATATTTAGACTATATTGAAATCTATTCATTGGATAAAGACCCTGAAGAAATTGCGAGAACCAGAATACTAGAGATAGAATTTAGAAGAAAATATTACTATAAGCAATACTATAACAGAGTTCATAATATAATAAAAATACTCGTACCAGAAAGTGACTTAGAACAATACCACGGATGACAGTGTTTGATACCAACAGTAGAACAATTATTAAAAGGAACTTAACATAAAGCACTGCAGAAATATCATGATCAACAAGAACCCAGAATTGATGATAACTAAAATAAAAGTTCAAACTTATATCAACCTATTAAAACACACTCAAATATTGAAAAATTATCTTACAACCCTAAAAGAAATTCAGAGTTACTTTAATTTGAAAGAAAAGAATAAAACCATCAGAATTGTATACCAAGAACTAGCAATCAACGCTGTAAATATTGAAATATATTTAAAACTTTACAAGCATATTGTTTAATATTAGCGCAGGAGATTGCCAAATGAATGATTTACAATACTCTAACGAAGAAATAGAAGTTTATAAAACAAAGCTGGAATCAATATACAAAACCCTCATTGAACCAGAAAAGATACTAACTGAAAATATAGTAATAAATACACCAACTACATCACCAATATCTGAGAAGACTGAAGAAGAATCAATAATAGCATATTCTGACGAACCAGTAAAAATTAATTATTATAGTGTTAGTTTTAAGAGATACTAAGTATTATCACATTTAGACTGGAGAATTGGGAAATTATTCAATAACAATATACCAGTCTTATCTGAAACAGACTCAATCTCAATAATTAAGTCACAAATAACTGCAAAAATACGACTGATACAATTATCTGAAGAACCAGTATTTAGTAAATTCATAGTACAAATAATATTAACAACAAAAGGACATTTCAAAAGAATTTCGGATATACAACGAAACCAAGTATTCGTATCATTTGATAAGGACACACATCCTTATTTACAACTCAGAGAAGAAATCTCAGAAGTAGAACACTTTGTAGTGAATCTAACAACTATTGAACCAAATCAAGTACTCATACACCAAGACACATTTATAGGAAACAAAAAGCTCGAGAAAACCACAACTAAACTACGAGCATTGTTAGCAAATAAAGATTTTTATATTATCACCTTATTGGATAATTTCAATTATACGATAAATCAATCTGAAGCTCATATTTGGCACGAGTTCTCATACATGCAAGGAAACGATCTTGTTCATTATAAATGAAAAATACCAAACTTGAAAAGAAATTAAAGAAGAAGTTGCAGCACATACAACAGCGATACTACCAAGAATCAATATCCAAAGAAATTAACTTTAAAGTATTGGATAATTGGAAACAACTTGAAGAATGATTAAGAAAAGATTTGGAAGCAATTGAAGAAATTACACGCTTCAATATTAAATATATCACTCAAGCTATTAAACAAAATAAACAAACCAAAATTGATGACTAAAGTGAAACCAAAGAAAAAGTACAACTTTGACAAAACAGCCAAAAGGTGCTGCAAGTGCAAAACACCTAATAGAACTTATTCTATAAACAGTAAAACCAAGGTTTTAAATAAAACCTGTGACAAGTGCAGAGAAGAAATACAACGGTTCTACCAGAAACAATCAGTAGAAATAATAACCGACGAAGAAGGAAAATTCTCATTCAAATATTTAATATGCTGCTCAACCTGTGCGAAACTACAGAAACAATCTGTATTTATTAAAGGATCAAAAAGGCTGAAAACTTGTTTCAATTGTAGAACTAATTTTAGAAGATATGAACCCGTGAAAAGAATTACTAAATCAGGAACTACTGAAAAACATTATCCAAAGTGTGGACACTACAAGAAATTAGAAGAATACTTAAAGTATTCAAAGAAATACAGCAAGGATATAGAACTATGGCGCTGCAAAAATTGCAACCGTAGAGAAACTTTAAACACATGAAGACAAACTGAAGAGGAATTCCAGTTGCAAAAGAAACTGAAATTGCTAAAAAAAAAAGAATTGTTGGAAGAGGAAATTTACAATTTAGAATTTGTAAAGTTTACAGTACAACAGTTAAATGAAGAAGATGGAGCAGTTACCATTGTATGATGATCCGCAATATGGAATGACATGGAAATGTACTAGCTGCAACGAATTCCAGGAAATGGAACAATATAAAGAAATTGAAAATGACCAAGAAATTTATTATGATAATTGTAATACATGACGAAAACTAGAATATTTGGCACAATCTTTAATACACCATTTAGAATTACCGGAACACAGAATTATACAAACCACACCATTTAGATATCACCCAGAAAAAGGATATCAAATAGGATTGTCTAAAAGAATCAATCCAAAGAAAGTTTTTTGGAATTATTATCAAGGATATAGAGGAAAAGGAGAATTAGACGAAAATGGAAAGCCATGCGAAAGTGACGAATATACAGCAATAAGAGAAGGCCTAGAAGAAGCCAATATCTTAATGGAAAAAGAACTACTTATTAAAGTATGGACCAAATTTAAACCAAGCTCACAAGAATGAGTAGCAGAAAAATATTGTTTGCCAACAGAAGCCAAATACAAGATACGAAGAACTGTATTTATTTACCCATGTAACATATTTCAAAAATTGAAACAATGTGAACCAGAAGAAGCAACACCATGGGAATGGTATACTTACAATGAAGTAAAAGAATTAACCCTCATACTGATGATCAAACAACCACTAGAATTAATATTCAACGGAATACATCAGTATTTTGTCAGAATGCAAGAAGTACAACAAGAAGAACAACTTGCTGACGATTATATAAACTATGAAGCTAAGTACCCCTACGAAGAAATAGAAAGCTTAGCAGATGAAGACGAAATTCAAGAAAAATTACCAATGATGACAGACCACGAATTTATTACTCATCATAAACAGGTAGAAGCCACACCAAGAATTGAGATCCTGCAGATAGAAAAATATAAAAAACACCTTGAATACGAAAAAGGCCAGATACAAAATAAAATCAATAGAGTCAATAGACTCCTAAATAGTCACTATAATTACAAATATTTAGCAGCATTCCGACCCCGAGATAGAATGCACGCATCTAAAATATTAAAGGAAAATCCAACACTCAAGAAAATATCTGATTCCGGACTAATGGAACTATTGAAAAATCAAGACTTTGTTTACTCACTCATGAAACTCAAAACAAAGAAAGAACAATACCAATTGAAGATTTGGCAAATTAAAAATAACGTACAATACGACCAAAATACCGAACTGTGTGGAACAATTGACCAAATATTTGATGAACATCCAAACATATCATTAGTATGACCAACGTTACGGATTCATGGCAAAAATTGCCTCATAAGGAAATTACCGGCAATGTTAATCCGGACATGTAGATCGATGTGAAAGCCAGCACAACAATCTCGAATTAAAACTCAGTTGGCCGAAAATGACTTGAAAATCATGATCATCATTGCACGATAACATCGATATTGGATCATGCGATGATAAATATCATGTCAGAGCAAATGATTGGCTGAAATGTGCCGCTGCGCGGCACACCATTTGCTCCGACAAAACAAATTTCATGATATTACAGCTGATTTGAAAATTAGTGGGACACCTGATGAATTTTGTGATGAACATCCAAATTTCGGTAATTATTTTTCGGTAGTTTTTCGATAATACAATTTTTCGGCCGATATATTATTGCGGTATCGTTTGTTTTGATTTTCGGACTGATACGGGATGTGTTGTAACCATCCCGGATCAGTTCGGCCGAAAAATCATATTATCGAAAAACTACACTGTTATTACCGAAAAATAATTACCGAAATTTGGATGTTCATCACAAAATTCATCAGGTGTCCCACTAATTTTCAAATCAGCTGTAATCGTTGCATGACCAATATCTTATACATAATTTTAACGCTCTTACGTGAAAAAGTGTTATTTTTTGATTTAATCCATAATGCAGTATTAATCAAAAAACTTAGTGGTCTGCTAGTATATATTGCTTGCGAATTTATTTTTTTGATAGGCGGGATTATAATATCTGAGAAACCCTTTTCAAGTATTTTAAAACTAAGAATATCAGGAATATCTCTAGCATTTGGTCTGTTTAATGGATTAGCATCCCAGCAATTTTCCATTAATTCGATATAAATCTGTGATAAATCATTAAATATTTTAGGACGAAGACCATTAAGAATATCTAAAATAAGAAATTCATCATGATTACGATCAGAAAAAGGTTTTTGACCAGTTATCATTTCCCACATAATCATTCCAAAACTGTATACATCTGAAGCTTCTGTATATTTTTCACCAATAAATATTTCAGGAGCGATATATGGTACCACACCATATATCTCCTTTGTATCTGTTATCGAATTTGCTGGTTTACTTATTCCAAAATCTCCGATTTTTGTATCTGTATAATTGATATCACTATGAACAAGTATATTACCACTATGTAAATCTCTATGAATAATTTTTTGACGATGAATATCATGGAGTCCCGTTGCTATAATTCTTAACATTTCTAGTTTTTTATTCCAAGATAAAGTATGAAAGTTTTTTGAAATATAATTATGTAAATCACCATTTTGTGCAAAGTCCATTACAATCATATAATTTTTTGTTCCAGGATGCTGTGTGATGCCATAATATCTGTGTACAAAATAATTTCTACATTGAAGATAACTTCTTAACTAAAATAAACGAAATAAGTTAATGAAATTTAATAAAAAGTTACATGAATAAAATAATTGTAACAACACAAACCTCATTTAAAAAATCAAGACTTATACTTTCTGAATTATTAAGACTTTTAAGAACGAATGTTGAATTTTTTTCACTATTCGTAAATGCTTGCTCACGATGAGACCATTTATCTTTTATACCATCAACACATGTCGCCTTGTATATTTTGCTAAATCCTCCTTCAGCAAGATAAGTAAAATCACTAAATTGTTCATATGGAATAAATTCGACAAACCTATTTGCTTTATTTAATTCAATAAGCCAATTATCAACAATTTCGTTACCACTAAATATGAAGTTGTCACAAAAGTTACATTTTTGAGCATTGCTATCCTTATGACGCCTTCTCTTTTTACAATTTTTACACTTTTTAAGTATATAGTCTTTATTATCCATAATTTAATATGAATTTAATAGACAAATATGTTGAAAAATTTTAAATTAGAATTTAGAAATTTTTAATGGTGACAACTATCGTTAAGCTGATGTTTCTGTCAATTTATATTGGAGGGTACGTATCATCCAGAATATAATATTATATAGTAATGTACGTACGTAAATATTTTCCGATTGTCTGAAACCTAAATGTTAAATGGAAGTATTCTTTATATGACATGTGTCAGTTATATATTACAGAAAATTAGAAAGTTCTTTCGAATTCTTGCTGTATAATGTGTAATGTTACATGAATCGCTTTGTTTCAGAGAATTTAACATAACTTTTATGGTGTTTTTCGTGATCATCAGATGATCACTCATCGTATGGAATAATGACTAATCTCCAACAAACAAATCTGAAAATTTATTGAGGGGGCGCTTAGATTTGGCAAGTGGATAATTTCAGTCACAAACACTTCAGGGTTAGGATAAGCACGTAAGCAATGGTAGTTGGATAGATGAAGATAATATGCCAATTAATAGAATATTAGAAAGTGGATCAATATAATTTATTAGAGATGATAATGTCCTTTTCGTTTTTTGTATTCAAAACTAGTTCAAATTCTAAAGACTAGTGGAATTAATCTTCATAGTTTTCTGGCATAATTTTTAGCTAATCGCAGGTTTAAATTCCCAATTCTCATATGGGTGACGGGACATGAAAACCTGTTTCATTCATTATCATTGCAGTGATACCTACCTTTATAAGAATTGGGGATATATATGAGTGTCGGCAAAAGAAAACCCGACAATTTAAATATAGTCTATATTTAAATTGTCGGGTTTTCTTTTGCCGACACTCATATCACTACGATGATAATGAGTGAAATGATTTACAGGTTTTCATATCCCTTCACTCATATGATGTATGAAAATGATCATGGTAATTCGAAAACATGATGAAAAATTTTTTTATTAATTATATAACAATGGGGGAGAGTTAACTTAATTCGAAAATAAGTGAGAGTTTGAAAAGTCCTATTTTTGGTTTGAAATTTCGAAATCAGAAAATGAAAAAGGAGTTGTCGGGAGATAAATAAACAAACTTTTTTTTGATGATGTATACTATATCTTATTATATAAATAGGCTTGCAAATAAAAATAGGGACCTGATATTTTCACACCCGTTTTTTTTATTTCCACACCCCCATGTAGATTACTCTTTTTTTAAAACTTCGATGAATTTTTATTTGAGTTCTACATTCCGAATAAAAAAAAAGCTCATCAAATTTGGTTAAATGATTGTTGAGATACTTTTGATCAAAGTCGAAAAAAACATATATCGCAGCTAATATTTTGATTGATCGAAGATATCTCGGCAACCACCTAACCAAATTCGATGAGCTTCTTTTTTATTTGAATTCTACGGATCTATAGAATTCAAATAAAAAAATTTGTTGAATTTGGTTGGATGGTTGTCAAGATACCTTCGATCAATGTCATAAACAATCTTGCCACGACTAATATTTTAATAGACGGTTAAAATTTTCCAAAACTTTGATCGAAGGTATCTCAATATCTATCCAACCAAATTCGATAAACTTTTTTTAATTCGGATTCTACAGAACTGTAGAACTCAAATAAAAAAAAGTTCATCCAATTTGGTTATATAGTTGCCAAAATACCTTCTATTGAAGTTTTAAAAAAAGAGTGATCTACATGGGGTGGAAATAGGATTTATTACAAAATTAATACGTCGCTAATTTAATTGAAATCGAAACCTGAACCTTAAGTCTGAAACCCCATAATGTGTTTTTTTTGCTATATAATTTTTATGATATTGAATAATAATATATACGACTATTATATATATATAAGTTATTAAAAAAAATTAATAATAATAAAAAGTCAGAAAAATCGTAACTAATAAATACGGTACTAAGTGTAAATTAAAAGTAATTTATGTAATTAATTTTAGATCTATAATGTCAAGCTTAACTTCTAATGTATCTAGTATCGATGAGTTTCGAATGTACATTAAATTTTTATCATTGCTTTGTTTTTTTGTTGTTGTTTATAATAGACCAAAAAATTATCATTTAAAAACAAATATGATAGTAAATTTTAGCTTTGATCAATGCTCGATGATGTCCGAATTAAACCTCAATGAATGAAAGCTTATTTCGATGCTCGAAATTTTTGATCGATGATCGAATAATTCTACATCGATTTCACCCTCTAGTATTTAAGACATGATATGGAAAGAATTCTTTTGATGGAATTCTCACAGGACTTTTAACCTATTGAAGTTTTGGTCGTATTCAATGATTCTGATAAATCAAGATATATAACTTCATTTGTATAATTTGAATTTCTAATCCAAAAAAAAATCAAACTTGTTATTTATAGCATCTCTTTTCTTGTCAAGAGCAAAAGTAAATTAGAGGATATTAATTTTCTAAAAGCAATATTGTAAAGTTTATTTTAGATTAAGATATCTTTATTTTTTAATAAAATAGACCTTCAATTTTTAAATATTCCAAACCCGTTTATTAGCTGTGTTATTGTATTTTCGACTGAATCTGTTTTACATCTTTCTATATGTACTAAACTTGAACATTATCGTTATTCTTTATTTAATCGATATCGTTATTGTAAGGGATATGTATATTTTTCTTGCTCTGATTGGCTAGCTGAATTTCCATAATTGAACATTCTCCATAAATGCATATTTACGTACGTACGTACCTCCGGTCCTAGCGGCATGCACTTAGAGAGGTTTGACTTATATAGTTACAACTTCATTTAACAAAAAAATTGGAATTACTTTTGCTGGCGATTGTACTTTTGAAATTACCAATAATAATGTTCGACATACTTTATTTACATACAAGATGATTACAGTTTCGTTATAGTATATTACAATTTACAAATTAAAAGAGAGTTTAAAACTTATAAATCACAGGATGGTTGGCAAAGCCAAGATAGAAAATTTTTATTCAAAAAAAGATTTTACAAATGAACGGTGAAATAAATAGAAGATCATTGTGGCTGATTACTATGCCAATAACCTGTCACACATTCAAGAGATGCTTTAACATTAAGCAACCATATTAATACATAAAAATATTGTTATGTTCTTTTTTTAAAATACCAAAGAGCTTAGACACCCGAACAACTCAAAAATTTCCGAACCTGTAATTCTTAACAACGAATTTTCTCCAAATACTCATAATGAGGATCAAAGGTATCAAAGATTCATACATCACAAAGTATAACCAAGTACTTATAAAGTACTTGTTGCTATAAATTAGCTTACTGAAAAAGTCACAAACGTCATTTAACAGTATTATTAAAACAAAAAGAGAACATAAATCAAGACAAACAAATAAAGAAGATAACACATATAAATGTACAATGATTTTTAAATTAAATTTTGAAAAAAATCTTGAATAATTTATTTATTATATATTTTTTTAAAAAAAAAACTCAAACATCACCGCCCGTCAATTTATTAATAATTATAATCTTCTCAAAAAGGTTCATGATGTCGCAAATATTAAACATAATTATATCTTTGGTTATGTTAGATAGTAAAACTGATTCTTGCATCAGGCGTAGCAGGAACAAATTAATGTCAAAAAATTTCTTGCTAAAGAATGATAAGATACAGATATATAAAAACAATAATTGTGACCTTATAAGAAATATATATATGTTTAATACAATATTTTATTATAAAGTGTAATATATACCTATGAATTAGGGCTCACAAAACGCTGGCTTTTTCTGGTTTATGTAATCTTCAACTCTAGTTACATCCGGAAAATGTGTACCAGGCTTGTGCGCTATAATGGCTGGCTGAGGACTTAGATCAGAATTCGTTGACAATGTTGTCTTGAATACGTTGACAGTGTTGTCTTGGCATTTTGTGAAACAAATAAATAAACAAATTCTTTGCAACACGTGCGTGCGTGTATAGGTTAATTTAATTCATTGCAGAAAATATGACGTTAAGGATGTGCCTCAACTAATAGTAACAATCGATATAGCTATTTAATAATTTGAATATTTATATATTTTAAGTTATACAAAATTTTAAGTACGCTCCCCAAAATGAATAACATCGTGAAATATAAAATAATTGGGTTGCAAAATCTATTCCAAATGTTCTTATTGTCAAAATCCTCCAATTGACCTAATCACCACAATCTCCCATTATTCACGAATCGCCTTTTCTAGGTTTTCTGCCAGAAATGGCCTTTCTGGAATTTCTGGTCGGTGAGTCCGGATTTGAAAGTAACGAGCATGTGCCTCATAGACAGAAATTCGTTTGATTGGCTGATGTAAATCAATTGCCCGGGTAACTTATTTATACACTTTAAAGTACT